CATAAACATTCCATTAAAGCTATCTTTTATTTAGTTGCTGATTAAAACTAAAATAAAAAAATATGAATATTGGTTGTTATAGAGCTTCAAATACTATATGATACTTCTCAATAAATTCGCTTTCATAGAACGTAGACTGCAAGGTTTGTATTATGCATCCATGGTTGAATGTGATTTAAAATAATGTAATACGTTCAATCATCTTTTCATAAATAATATTTTGTCGATTTTTTTAACCCTAAACAGTACACCTGGGGTCCGCGCGGACCCCAGCACTATATATTCTGTAATATCTTTTTTGTTTCTAAAGATTTTTTTCTGAAATTTTAGGTAATTGTCACCCACAAAGTTGTCTCTCGATACAGTGCAGAAAACTCCGTTTCTACCATTTATAAAAGAAATATATCTGATTTTCTTTTGGGGTCCGCGCGGACCCCAGCCGGCTTTCGATCATAATGGATACACTGGCGTTCTTATACATTACCTTATTTCCGTTTTTATATGTTTTTATGCACTCATCGTATGTCTACCAAGTTTTCAGAGAATGGTGTAGTAATAGAATTAAATTTTAATAACTTTGGTGTAATTATTTCGTCATATGACGTCAGAGCTAGTAATATAGTCCGCCATATTGGATTTTGACCAATGACGTCATCAAATTAGCATATTCTATGCATATTAAATGATTTAACTTATATTTAATTATGTAAGATGTTATTAATGTTGGAAAAGAAGTGTAATTTAATATAAAATTTAATATAAAATTTTTATGTTTAAACCAAAATTACTTCTATTTTCAAAAAACTGCCTGCTAGAAACCCGTTGCCATGGCAACACAAAAAAACATCAACTTACTAGTATTAAACTAATATGAAGTTTTTGCCAGAGACATTTTAGGAAAGGTCTTCAAATTTGATACTTCTAGCGCAAGCCGTGTAGCCGCTATCTGAGATCAAAGTTGGGCCTCAAAAGCCCCTTCAGTCTGAAATGGGTTAAAAAATCGTGTATTTCTTCTTGTCTTCTTTTCTTCACCAAAAAATAGAAAAAGTTCAAAATGTATGGTTTTTGCATGTAATGTGGACACAGAGGTTCCCACATCAGTTTACAACACAATTGAGCTGGTAGCATGTTGATAATTTCTAAAAATTAGCAAAAACTGTTCTGGGGTCCGCGCGGACCCCAGGTGTACAGATTAATCAGTCCGGGAAGGTGTACTGTTAAGGGTTAAAGGAGTCGTTTGATACTGGGTACATTACCTATCAATCGACACCAAACTTGACCTTCTGATACCTTCGGTTGCCCTAACCCTAACCCTACCTTAAGGCGACCCTTAAAACTTTAAACGCTTATAAATCCCAAACCAATAATGATAAATGCAAACAGTTCGCGTATCTTTAATACTGAGACGTTTACCTCTCAAACGACACCAAACTTGACCTTCTGGTGCCCTCGGTTGCCCTAACCCTAACCATACCTTAAGGCGCCCCTTAAAACTTCAAACGCTAATAAATCCCAAACCAAAGATGATAAATGCAAATGGATTGCGGACCTTCAATACTGGGTACATTACCTTTCAATCGACACCAAACTTGACCTTCTGGTACCTTCGGTTGCCCTAACCCTAACCCTACCTTGAGGCGCCCCTTAAAACTTCAAACGCTTATAAAACCCAAACCAAAAATGATAAATGCAAACAGTACGCGGATCTGTGATACTGATACAATTATCATTTAAACGACACCAAACTTGACCTTCTGGTACCTTCGGTTGCCCTATCCCTAACCCTACCTTAAGGCGCCCCTTAACACTTCAAACGCTTATAAATCCACGACCAAAGATGATAAATGCAAACGGTTTCCGGACCTTTAATGCCAAGACCATTACCTTTCAAACGACACCAAACTTGACCCTCTGGTACCTTCGGTTACCCTAACCCTAACCCTACCTTAAGGCGCCCCTTAAAACTTCAAACGCTTATAAATCCCGAACAAAAGATTATTAATGCAAACGGTGTGCTGGCTTTTAATACTGATACAATTACCTTTTAAACGACACCAAACTTGACCCTCTGGTACCTTCGGTTGCCCTACCCTAACCCTACCTTAAGTCGGCCCTTAAAACTTCAAACGCTTATAAATCCAAAACCAAAGATGATAAATGCAAACAGTTCGCAGATCTGTGATACTGATACAATTACCTTTTAAACGACACCAAACTTGACCTTCTGGTACCTTCGGTTGCCCTAACCCTAACCCTACCTTAAGGCGCCCCTTAAAAACTTCAAACGCTTATAAATCCAAGACCAAAGATGATAAATGCAAACGGTTTACGAACTGTTTATACTTGGGCCATTATCTTTCAAACGACACCAAACTTGACCTTCTGGTACCTTCGGTTGCCCTAACCCTAACCCTACCTTAAGGCGCCCCTTAAAACTTCAAACGCTAATAAATCCGAAACCAAAGATGATAAATGAAAATGGATTGCGGATCTGTGATACTGATACAATTACCTTTTAAACGACACTAAAGTTGACCTTCTGGTACCTTCGGTTGCACTAACCCTAACCCTACCTTAAGACGCCCCTTAAAACTTCAAACGCTTATAAATCCCAAACCAAAGATGATAAATGAAAATGGATTGCGGATCTGTGATACTGATACAATTACCTTTTAAACGACACCAAACTTCACCTTCTGGTACCTTCGGTTG